CCCATGTAGCTTCATTAGGGTGGTTCATTGAAATGCATGTGAAGTTTTATACCTTCCCGACACGTAACAGGCATTCGGTGGGTGCCTGCTATTTTTACCATCAATCTTCTTTTTACAGTAAAATAACTGAGGCCTATCCACACTAGGTAACTTTCCAAGGTTACATAGCTAGTGGGTCACACAGCCACCTTCCAACCCACATTGGTCCAACTCTAAAGTGCACACTTAACCTCTTTAAAAAATGGCCCATTTTTATTTATTTATTTTTATTTATTTTATTTTTTTAAAAATGGCCCATTTTTAAAGAATCCTCTGTAGAAGTTATAAATTGATCTCTTTTAAGGAAGGACGGAGCAAGTGTTCACACTGGATGCTTAAAGCTGAGCTCTATTTCAACAACGTGACTTGTGCATTGCTTCCAGCCCAAGGAATAAACCAGAAACTGCAAGTTTATTCCGTTCACCACTCACTAACATAAGTGACCTTGAGCAGGTCACATTGGGACCTTGCTTACTGGTACATGTAAAATAGGCATAAAAAAACAAGCCTGTCCCATGTGTGAGTGTAAAGTATGAAGAATCAGAGAATTTAGATGCACTGTAACTTGAAAAAAGATTTATCTCCCATTGTACAGTCATTTCCACTGGATTGCTGAAAATGAACAATGAAACATAAATTATAATGCATTATACATGTAGTCAACAAATCAGCCATTCAGTGAAATACGTCATGTTAAGTGGGTGAACTTTAAAAGCAGCCCACCAGGCAAAGAGGGGTGAAGGCAGCATAAAGCTGCGATGTCCTGCTAGCTAGCGTCTCCTGTCTGTAACAGCATCTCCTGTCTGTAACTTCAGGGGAAGACCATACAGAAGCATTGGAATTCTATAAGGACACTTCCTATTCTTTTTTTTTGTAAAAAAAAAATACATCTTATTGTTTTTTTTTAGAGAGGAGGGGAGCAAGATAGAGTTATAAAAATCAATAAGAGTCCCATTGTACAGTCATTTCCACTGGATTGCTGAAAATGAACAATGAAACATAAATTATAATGCATTATACATGTAGTCAACAAATCAGCCATTCAGTGAAATACGTCATGTTAAGTGGGTAAACTTTAAAAGCAGCCCACCAGGCAAAGAGGGGTGAAGGCAGCATAAAGCTGCGATGTCCTGCTAGCTAGCGTCTCCTGTCTGTAACAGCATCTCCTGTCTGTAACTTCAGGGGAAGACCATACAGAAGCATTGGAATTCTATAAGGACACTTCCTATTCTTTTTTTTTTTGTAAAAAATCAATACATCTTATTGATTTTTTACAGAGAGGAAGGGAGCAAGATAGAGTTAGAAACATCAATGAGAGAGAAACATCGATTAGCTGCCTCCTGCACACCCCCAACTGGGGATGTGCCTGCAACCAAGGTACATGCCCTTGACCAGAATCGAACCTGAGACCCTTCAGTCCGCAGGCCGACACTCTATCCACTGAGCCAAACCGGTTAGGGCGACACTTCCTATTCTTCATCTCTACTCTCTATCACAAATTTCAGTGCTATTTTAGATCAGAATGATCCAATTTCTACTCATTAAGTTAATATCCAGAGTAATGGAGAAAAGCCTGCATTGGAAGCTGAAAGACCCAGTGTCTATCAATCAGTCACTGTATCAACTCGTGCTGTGACCTTGCACAAGTCCTTTAGCCTCTGTGTGGCTTCGTTTCTTCATTTACAAAATAACAGCAGAACTAAATTCTTTCTAGAGCTCTTGCCAAGAATAATACACTATGGTTTTCATAAAACCCATCAATAATGGGGCCACCAGGGGGAAGGAAACACTTCTGTGTTGTTTCTCAAGTACCCTGGCGTGAGTTGTTAACTGCTACCTAGCTTTTGCCAAGTAGGGCTTTTTAATTTGTTATGTTCTTCTCACTGTCTTACACCACCTAGTAAATCTTTCAAAAAAAATACCAAGTTACTTAAGTAAAGTTTATAGAATAACAAGACAAATTACTCAATAATATGTTTTAATTTTTATTAATTTGTTTAAAGGTGTAGAACATAACTTGAGTGACTCTTAACAAATTACTTTAAGAGGTTCACTATTCAAATAACCTCAAAGGTCCATCAACCAAGTCACGCAAAAAATCTGATTTTGTCATTAAATATCCTTTTAAAAAAATCATGGTCTACCATGGTTAGCTAACAAAAGTTCCTTTTTGCATTTAACTTCTATCTCAAAGGACTCATCTATATTATGAGTATGCAATTATTTTTACTTCACAGGTAGATGTGAAAGCAACCCAGAGGTTAAATAACTTCTACAGTGATGGCAACTGACAGAGTTGATCCATATCTTTCAAACCTCTTTTCTTTGTAAATTCCAATATCTTAAAATAAAAAATTCTAATTATGAACGTCTGTAATTTCACTCTTATGAGAGTCATTTCTGCTTTCTAAGGTCTATCCAATTGGCATGAACAACCCTCGAAATGAAATGGAAAACTCGGGAAGCAAATGATCTGGGAATGTTAGCACCTCCTGATCGGCCCTGCTTTCTGCAATCAGGCTGAGTGGGACACACACATTTCAGCTTGACCTCCTGAAATGAACATTTTCTGAACACAGGTGCAATGAACATTTTTGTATGTGTTTGAAGGTCTCAAATAAAAATGAGGGGTTTTTAAGAGCTAAACTGCTCAAGATAAAGGCACAGCATTGGCAACCAGTATTAACACAACTAAGTTAAAGCTTATGTAAATTAAACCTTCTCGCCTCTGATTTCTGATCAACAGTTTGCTTTCAAATAAGGCTGATGGGGGGATCCCTTTCCTCAGAATCATTAGAACACTTAGTAGCATACCTTGATCCCGTGCCATCATTTCTGCCGTGATAACCGCAGGTGCACTGTGACGGACATAAACAACTCACGCCTTCCAAAAAGCTAAGCACAACGCCCAGACATGCTAAGAGACGCATTGCTCCTTTTAGAGGTTATTGGAACAACAGGTAAAAACCAAATCCTAAGCATTCAGGGACTGGTGTGCCTGGAACGCAAACAGCCATTTAGTAAGAGCAGATTACACAGGATTAGCTGAGATCTGTAGTTACTTAACCTTCAAGTGTATTTTGCAGGGGTTCAATCTTCCTAGCCTTTGAATGTGGTTTCAGCAAAGTAACACATTATAAAGAAAGTGAAAATCAAACACATGTCAAGAAAATTTCAGTAGTTGCTCAAATCTAGATTTGCAAGGAAATACATATTAAATTCCTTTCCTATGGATGTAATTGCTAATACATCTTGCAGCTACACGCAATGTTAAAAACAATTCAATGTCTTAGCAGATACTAGAACATTTAGAAGATGATTTACATTATAACATTATAAATTTTATTTTGTGCATTTGCTTTTTATCAGCATGCATAACAATCAGTTTTACAAAATTTAGCTTTAAAGATAGAAGCACATGATGTAAAATTGATTTAGAATAGAGTTATCAATATTGCCAAGTATTGGCTATCTCCAAAAACAAAGTAGACAAAGTCTGGAACCTAGTGGGGTTTTTTGGTTTGTTTGTTTGTTTGTTTGTTTGTTTTTAGACTAAATGCTTCAATCCACCACTGAAATGTGGACCTAGGGCTCCAGTGAGTGTGTCCTGTGGCTCTGCAGGTCATCTCAGCACAGTGTAAGGCTCCTCCCAGCTCTTATTTCTACTCAAAGCTACTATCTCTCTTTAAGAATATGTTTTATTCTAAGCTCGTTTCCCAAATTATGGGCATCAAACCATAGCTAAAGATGAACTGGTATGTCTTTTAGCAAAGTTAAGCTCTATTAAAAAATAAAAAGTAAATCGAATAGTTAAAAAATAACCTGAACACTCATAAGGTGGGGAGAATCCACAGGCACAATCAAGGGTTTAGGTAACATATATCACAAATATATATGGCATTTAATCTTCCTATTAGGTGGTTCTATCCATCATCTTTAAACAAAAAACTCTTTAAAAGAATCAATTTTATAAAAGTAAGAATACTATGGGAAATATTATTTAAAACTAATAGGATGGCCCTAGCCAGTTTGGTTCAATGGGCAGAGGACTGAAGGGTCCCAGGTTCGATTCCAGACAAGGCCACATGCCCAGGTTGCAGGCTCGATCCCCAGTGTGGGGCGTGCAGGAGGCAGCCAATCACTGATTTTCTCTCATCATTGATGTTTATCTCTCTCTCTCCATCTCCCTTCCTCTCAGAAATCAATAAAAATATATTTTAAAAAAATAAAAAAATAATTAAAAATATAAAACCAATAGGATGCATATAGAAACAACAGTCAGAAGAATTTGCTCAATTAAAACAAAAGACTATAGATTTTAAATGTTCACTATTTACATAATCGTGTATTATCCTGCTATGCTTAATAGTTATTTAAAGTGACAATTATGTGATTACAAATTTATTCAACATTCAACAAATATTTATTGAGTGCCTACTATGTGCCAGGCAAAACGGGTGTGCATGCTCAGGACACATCAAAGAACAAATATACAGCTAATCAACAGGCATAAAGTTTCAGTTAAGCAAGATGAGTAAGTTCTAGAGATCTGTTGTGCACTATTGTACTTATACTACATTATACACTTAAACATTTGTTGAGGGGGTAGATCTCATGTTATGTTCTTACCATAATAAAATAAACTTCAAACAAAAAAGAGGGGGGGGAAACAACACACAAAAACCCCCACTCTGATTAAACTTAATTCTAGTGGCAAATATATAGAAATGAATATATAGAAAAATGATAATTAAAAAGCAGACTATATAATAACATGCACAGAGATTATGTTGCTGTATAAAATATATATGCAATAACTGGCATGTGACTTAATAGCCCTCTGATCATTTTTGTTAAATAGTATATTAATAATTACATTAAGATTTTAAAATTGTGAAATGCTAACAACTCATTTCAGTATTTATTAATTAATTATTATTTATGTATTAACTTTTTTTAAAAACATTAACATAGCAGCTACTTCTGGTCTAATGGAGGGCCCAGGCAAGATACCAGGCCATCGGTACAGAGTATTACATGCCAAGATAGGGAAAAAGAGAATTTTGTACCTGGATTCATCAAAAGAGATGAGCAATAAGTTTGCATATAAACAAATAAAGAAGCATTCTCTACAATAGCCAATGCACAAACAGAACTATAAACTACATTTAAGGAATTCAGTCTATTAGGATAATAATCTATGTCTCCATTTGATCTAACTGGCTTCATATTTTAAGTAAAATTAAAATATTGCAAAAAAAAGTAAACAAATATATTGATAACGTGCTTTCCTTTTATTTCAGATTCTTCCAGAAGTCAATGGGTTTGAGGTACATCCATTGGTAAAAAGCTCATCGTGGTCATAGTTTGATGAGTATGACATTTGAACATGGCAAACATTGCCCTCCGAAACCTACAATATAAAGGGGGAAAGCTGGTATTATCCTATAATGGCTTAGAATCCAATATAATAAAAGACTAATATGCACATCGACCGAACGGTGGAACGACCATTTGCTATGACACGCACTGACTTCCAGGGGGCAGATGCTCAACGCAGAAGCTGCCCCCTGGTGGTCAGCGCGCTCCCACAGGGGGAGCACCACTCAGCCAGAAGCCAGGCTCATGGCTAGTACCGTATTTGCCGGCGTATAAGACGATTTTTTGGCCCTGAAAAATATGCCTCCAAGTGGGGGGTCGTCTTATACGCCAGGTACACTTCAGATAGACTGCCCATAGTGCTTGCCCCGTGCCATAGTGGCCTCCCGATGCCAGCCCCCTTCA